TGATCGTGATAATAATCATCGCAATATTAATGATCACAATAATAATCTTTATCATTGTTCTAATAATAATAAAATAATAATACCCATAAGAATCATAATAATAACGACCATAACATACTGCCCATAAAAATAACAGCAATGATAGTAATGGTGGTAATAATCATAGTGATAACATTAACAATAATCATGATAATGCTGAAGATGCCAGCATTGCAACCAAAACTCCAAAACAAGACCACGATCAAGAAAAGCGATAACAACAATAACAATAATGATAATAATAATAATAATAACAATAATAACAATAACAACAATAATAGTAATAGTAAATAATAATAGTAATAATAATAATAATAATAATAATAATAATAATAATAATAATAGTAATAGTAGTAATAATAATAATAATAATAACAACAGCAACAATAACACTAATAGCAATAACATTATCAACAAGAACAACAATTAGCATATAAAAAATAAAACAATAGTAATAAAAATTATAAAAGCAAAAGTAATGAAAAAAATTATAAAAACAATAGTCATAAACCAATTCATAAAACCAAGTTATAAGAATACGAATAATAACAATAACATGGGCAACAATAATAAACATAACGAAAATACTGAAAATAATAACAAAATAGTAATAATAACAATAAAAATAACAACGCCCGCGATGATGACCGATATAATGGCAGCAACAAAATCAACAGGAATGACAACAATTTTAACAATACTGATTATAATAAATTATAATTTTAGTCAGTAACAATCGTCTGCAATTGCAATACGAATAATAACAGTAAATAGTACTGAGATAACAATCACAATAGCAATATACGTACAGAAGAACAAATTTAAATGAACGCAAAATTCTCGACATATTGTTATTTATCTCTATTCCTTTTTTATCCGGACATCCTATTTTAACCTGATTTGGTGCGCACGATTGACCGCGATAATTAAAAAGCCACCGAAAATGCCCTTAAAGTCAACCATGAAAAGAGATAAACTCATAAAAATATATGCGCTTGGTTTCCGAAAAAAATGGAACTGCAGTCAAGGTTGCTCACTTTCGAGGTCCGTTTGCAAGGAACATTCCGATGGAGATTGCAAGTATAGGAGCGATGGCTGCACTCATGTCAGTGCCTGTTCATGAGGACTCATCTGGGAAAGTATTTAATATCGTGATAATATCCAGAAATTGGCGTTCCTATTCGAACGTGGTTTATAAATGGCACACTTATAAATTGATCGGATAGTTTGGTTACAGTTACTCCATAGTCTATAGTATACTTCATTCATATTTCATGTGATCTTTGATCAGCATGTTATGATGATCTTAAATAAACACAACAGATATTTTGTACACACACAACGACACTTTATGGCATGTGCACAGCTGCACAAACACACATTGTAAGCACGCACTCATAAAGCAAGTAATGTACATAAACATAGACACAATTAATGCACACATATAAAAATATATTAAAGCCCAAGTTTCTCCAAGTCTGCATGACAAGGTCACACAATATCGCATAAACTAAATCTATCAGCCATCATTGAGACTAGAGGAGGTTCTAAAGACCTAAGGAATATAGCAAATGCTGGTCTTCACAGAAAAATGATGGAGAACGGGTGCGTGTAGCAATTAAACTACAAGAGCCTCGATATAAATAAACATCCTTGAACAATAAATTACTGCAATTACTGCAACAGCATTTTTGTACCTTCTGTTAAAAATACGCGATGTATCCAATACGTCAAAATATAAGGACACAAAATTTAAACTCTATTGCATCTAATACTATAATCTATACTCACCAAATTCATGATTGCACGGTGCCTGTCTAAACCGTTATTGTCAAATCACAACATATGTTCTTGCTCACAAACTAGACTAATTTAGATGTCCGAAATCATACAAGACGATTTAGCACAGAGTTACTGACAGTGGGGAAGCAAAGACACCTTTCCTTCGGCGTTCCTTCGCACACTGAGTTGCGATTCATTCAGCTTTCTGGCGTTGCCGTGGTAACGTGATGTCGTACGTCTGGCAGCGCTATTGGGTTGCCTGACATTTTTTGAATTTTAGAGTTGAAATGTATATACTATGTATATGTGGAAGAGATATATTTGTTATTTTGTCTTTCTATTTACGGTCTAGTCGATGATATTTTTATGTGAAAGATAGTCGAACCATGAAATGAATTACTTCAAAAAAGGTATGCTAATTCGTGTTATGTCGGACACATATTCAATTCTAAGTAGCCTCTAATATCGGGTATGAATAATCTTGAATAAATCCTGTGAATTTTTCAATGGAAAATACGACTATCAGTTCAAGATGCGTTTTGATAATATATAGACAAGGCATGGCCATAATACAAAATTAAAATTCCCGCCCCCAAACTCTCGCGAAAGGCGAGAGTTGGCGAGATTTCGAGCAGCAGCGGTGAGTACGAAAGTTTCAAACTTTTCTTCTCATATTTTGGCATAAAGCCGTGGTACTCTGTTACTAAACTAACGCATGCTTATCCTCAAAGGAAACCAGAATACCAAGAGATTTAAATCGAACTAAAAACAATGCAGGAAAGATGTAAAGTGGTTTCTTGAGGCGTTATATTGGAGTCGTGAAGTTTGTTTTGGTTGACAAGGATTGCGCGCCAACAAGGCTCGGGCGAAATTTTAACTTTACAGAACTACCATGAGCTTAGTTTTCATTTAAGGCGAACATTTGAAAGTGATTCGCTCAACGCATCTTGTGTTTTTATGCAGCGGACACCAGATGAGAGGTCTGGAAGACGTCTTTTTAAAACCCGATTTGTTACGTTATTCAGACTCAAATTATGAACTGGAACGACTTCAATTGCAGAAGACAAAATATGGAATTATCATTTGGAATGTGGATTTCAGTTTCTGCCTTTGTTATTTCCATTAATTTCATAACGTCAGAGAATATAAATTTGCTTTTAATGTATTATTTCTCTTTTTAGGTAGTATAATGTTAAGCCAGTATTTCAAAGTAACGTCACACTTTTTCATTGTTTAGAGTAAATATTCTTTAAGAAGAAGAAGAAGAGGAAATAGGTGACAAAAGATCATCTAGCTGCCTTATCTCATTCAGCAATGATTGTCTTCATCCCCCTCACAGCCCATAGCCGGGAGTGAGCACGACCCAGCAGGCAAAGATGTCAGCCAGCAAAAGGCGCTCCTCTGTGGGGTTTGCCCTCTCTCCCACGAAGCGTCGAAGCAACCAGGCCAGCTCTGACACGCCTCACTCACGGCGACATTCCATCATGGATTCTATTGGTTCGGACAATGTTTTTATGGATGTGCCTGCGGTAAGATTGGTTTTCATTTATTGTGCGTATCTGTATCAGTAATTGTAATATTAAAAACTACATTAATGTGCACACTATCAGAAAGCGCTTAACCTTTAGAGATGAATTTGGTTGGAACACCTCAAATATAATGATAGCAGTAATTTTTTAAATTTCACATAGCCATCCTACCTTGCAAATATTGTTCCTTATTTCAATTATCCACACTAAAATATGCATGAATTTCTTGTTATTTTCCAATAAGATGATATAAGGAAAAGTACTGTCACTTTTCCAATAAGACCCTCGGAGATTAAGTCCCTGTTTCTCCAGACACTCCTGGAAAATCCTCAGACATTGCCATATAAACCTAAAACCTCCCTAACCTCAGGGCTTTGGCTCAGATCCCCATCCAGTTGCCATATTTCCCTATCAGGAGTCTGCCCCAAAACCCCCATCAAGTTGCCATGGACTTTACTCTCCATGGGGGTTATGTCGCAACTTGTATCCATTTTTTATCTTATTTTTTGCCTACACAGATTATTTCTTTTGTCAGTGAGTATAATTTTCCCCTTCATGTTAAAAAAATTCTTATTATCAACATGTTATAATGGTGAACACAGGCTGATATAGTTATCATAATCAACAAAAATAATGTAGTGCATTTGCTTTATGATATTTCATATATATGACATTATAGATTTATTATTATTAATCTTATTTATTTTCTCAATCCAGAATAACGATGAGCAGGAGAAGAAAGAGCGGCAGTTGAGCCGACTGCAACAGCAGATGCAGTCAAGGAACTTCTCGTCCCCCTCTGCAACCCCAGGAGATAGAAGAAAGTCTTTAAGCTCTGTAGCTGGCCTTACCAACCAACAGTTGTCAGAGCATTACTCAAAATGCATTCAGCTGTCTGCAGAGAATGTAAGAACTACTTCTCTTTTTATTGTGAGATTTAGATGTCTATAATCAATTGAGTAGAATTAATTATTTCCATTGCAAATTCTTGTTGACGTGTATTTATTTTATATTCTGCTGTGCAGAGGTAATTGAGGATTGAAAATGATTTAATCCATTGCAGAAAATCAGCATGAAAAATGCATTCAATTTGCAACTCATAGACTACATGTCAGAAATGCTTCGAAGAAAAGACTCTGATATGAATAATTTCCAGGTAAGGTAATAATGTAGTGTTCACAGGTAATGGCAATAATATATGTATATTTGGTAAAAGACTAATTTTTAGAGGTAACAACAAACAGCCATCATGTGTTTGGTTCCCCATTCGTTGGAGAATCACCAGGGTGATCTGCAACCTAACTCTTGCCATAATATACATAATGGATGCATGATGTCTTTCACTGGAGTGGCAAGGGCAGAGGCCATGGTGAGCACTTGAGTCACAGTGAGAATTTCCTGAGGGATTGACCTCTTACCATCTCCTTCCAACAGGTTTTCTGTTGTAAATTTTATTATTTCATTTCTTTTGCTCTCTGCTCTCTCTCTCTCTCTCTCTCTCGTCTCTCTCTCTCTCTCTCTCTCTCTCTCTCTCTCTCTCTCTCTCTCTCTCTCTCTCTCTCTCTCTCTCTCTCTCTCTCTCTCTCTCTCTCTCTCTCTCTCTCTCTCTCTCTCTTCTCTCTCTCTCTCTCTCTCTCTCTCTCTCTCTCT